CGCCCTCCGCCCGTCGTGCACGAGGTGCTCGACGGTATGCCCGCAATGACAACGTCGTTTATGAGGAATATTTCGTTATAAGGGTTGAGTTTGAGGGTTTTAATCTTTGCCCCTATTTTTCAACCTGTGAAAATGCACAAAAAGATTATTTTTGGACCCTTAAAATGCTAATGAGGATTTAAAGGTTTGAAAGTTCTACTAGACATGCTCTTATAGGTTTAAATTTCGGGAAGGAGTACACCTGACCCAAATATATCTCAAACATTTTCCAGTGGAGATCGTCGCCGAGAAACATCAGATTCCTTATCCGCAGAAATCTCTCACATGCACAACGGTCGAGCTTTGCCACCAACTGCAGCAATGTCTTCGGCCACCCCCCCTCCGCCGGCGTCACCGAACCCGGAGGCGCCTCCGCGCGTCGTCCGCCCGCCGCCTAGGCGGTCACCGAGGTCGCCTGGGCCGCCGCTGTGGGCCAAGCGGCGGCCCTCCGTCTCCGTCGACTACGACCGCGGCCGCCGCACAGTCCGGGTCGAGGTGGACGGCGTAGGTGCCGACGCGCTCCCCGCGCGGCACCGCCTCCGCGTGGAGGGGAGCCGGTGGCAGCGGGACTGCAAGGTGTCCCAGGTCGCCGCGCGCGTGCTCGCGCTCCCGCGGGCCGACACCCATGCCGTCGACGCCGTGCTCAACTGCTGGGCCGGGCGCTTCGCCTGCCGTAACTTCCCTCTCCTTATTCGTGTAAGACACCTCTGCAATTTATGTGTTCGATGCAATGAGTCTCTCTGACTCCCACATACCCGCTTTCTATGTGTTCGATGAAATGAGTTACTCGGCGGCAAATTTAACAAATTTGACCTGTGAACGAAATCAAATCACAGAATGAACTGCTCGTGAAACTATTTCACGCGGCTGACCTTTTTGTGTGACGCCCGACACGAAGGCGTCACACTACATTGTGCAACGCCTTACAGATAGGCGCTACACGCCTGGCCAACGTTGCACCCCAAACTGCCTAAAAATTGCTAAGTCATTGTGCAGAGCCTACGAGCTAGGCGCTACACTGTATAGTGTGGCGCCTAGCTCTCAGGCGTTGCACTAGTGGTTGCACTACAAAATGGAGCAGCCACTAGTGCAACGCCTAGAAGCTAGGCGCTACAATGTATAGTGTGGCGCCTAGCTCTCAGGCGCTGCACACTGACGTAGTAATTTTCGGATCACATGGGTGCGACGCTGGCCAGGCGTGTAGCGCCTATCTGCGAGGCGTTGCACAGTGTAGTGTGACGCCTTCGTGTCGGGCGTCACACAAAAAGGTCAGCCGCGTGAAATAGTTTCACGGGCAGTTCATTCTGTGATTTGATTTTGTCCATAGGTCAAATTTGTCAATTTTGCCTTACTGGGCATCCATTTGGGTTTATCATAGGAGTAAATGAACAAAAAAACAAATGAAAGATTATTCTGCGACTATTGCAGTCTTGTCTTGCAGCTGTTGCCTATTAAAGTGTCTCCGAAATGTCTAGATGGGAGTGTTGAAACTGAACGAACTCAATTTCTGTTTTGGATAGACATTCTAGTCATCTGGATATTTTATAACACCTGTGATTTCGTGCTTGATTCAAGCATTCGGATCTTGTATTGTTTCTAGTCATCTTGCACGTATTAGCTAGTTCTAGTAAACTGTGGGAGCATTATTGATTTTAAGGATTCTTGCTTGATCCTTGTAATCATTAGGTTTCTCATGGCATTATTTTTGTTTAATGCTTTTTTCAGTAATTCCAAAATTCTAATTACTTAATTCATATACCATCTTACCATCTTTCTGCTCCAATATATACATTGCTATTTACTAGAGAATGTGCTTCTGTACTCCTTATGAGCTTCTAGCTACTGAAGCTACAAGTCACATGTCAAGACTTCTCATTTTGTTAATAAACCTCCCACCTTTGTAAATCCACTGACATAAAGTGCTTACATGATCTACATCACTTGTAGGAAATGGCCTTTTCTGGGTCCTTGCAACATGCTGTATATGTGTTCTGCTGGATGAAAAACCAGGAGAACTACTGTGCCCGTAATGACATTTATGGTATGATGATACGATTACATGCCAGACACAACCAGGTTGATCAAGCACGTGGCCTGTTCTTTGAGATGCAAGAATGGCGGTATGAATAATATTAACTTGAGACTTCAGATTTCATTTAGCTACCCTCGGTTTTCACCAAAAAGTCAATAAGCCATAATAGTCCTCATGTTATCTGTGTTCATGAGTCTACATACAGACTATAGAACATATTTGGCCTTGGTTGCCTCTGTTATGGATGCAACTTGATTGTATTGCAAGGCCCATGGGGCAAATATAGCCTAATAAAGACTCCTACAGCAATACCAATACTCCTAGACCAATACTAATACTCCTTAACACCTCAATGACAAAGCATATGCAATAGCTTTGCATTTGAAGAAGTGTAACACTAGAAAAAAATGGTAATCCAAAATCCGCGTCTTGAGAGTATCGTTGTAGCATGGAGAGTCTTGAAAGCTTGTTGAGTTAAGCCAAAGGGGATAAGAGAAGATGGTGCATCAACAGAAGACACCGCATCAGTAGAAGATACAAAATAAGTATCAAGAGAAGATGGGTTGTCGAAAGAAGATGTCACATCAAGAGAAAGAAGCATTGTGCACAAAGTCATAGTCCAAGAAAATCAGCGGCTAGAGAAACTCGGCAGCAAGAGAATGGGCGTAAATCGACAATGCAAAAAGAGGCCACGAAAATCTATAGAAAACAACAAGGACCGAAAAAGGCCAGAAAAGCTGTATAGAAAGGACTAGAACCAGAAAAAGATGCTGACATATAAAGGTTTGATGGACTTACATGGCATGAGAAACAAAAAATATCAACGGATTTGGTGGACGCAGCAGAAAATATGGAGAACTAGAAGCTAGGAAGCACATACACAAAACATATATCATGTTCTAGGATTGGGACCGGCCCTAAGACCGATGAATGTGACATGGTTAGGGGTACAACTCTGAGGAGTGAAGGTTGGCCAGCCATGGTGCCGGGGATGAGAGGGAGAGAAGGTCGGTGACATGGATTAGATCTTTACTAGTTTATTCAGGGATTAGATCTTTACTAGTTTATTCTTATCTACTATTTCATAATCCTTATGAGGTACGTGGTGTCCCTTTTATAGGGAAGACTCAACTTGATGCCTAAGAATAGAATCTCGACTTTCCTAAGAAACCATATCTTAATCTTCCTAACTGAACCAATCTCTTTCCTAACTAAATAATTATCTCTAATGGGCTAAGTATGAGATCCACGCCTTTGACAACATAGATTCAAGAGCCATCGTGTATGCAGGAGAGTCTGTGGAGGAGGCCTTGCAGGTTGTTGAGCTTCATGCGCTAGCCAACACAACTAAAAGTTCGAACTGATAGAAAGGGCTAGGCAATCCACATATACACTTCAACACCCCCTCTCACATGTGAGCGGGAAGTCAACACGTGAATAGATTCAGAGGTAGGATTATGGCCCAAGAGGCCTATACATGTGCACAGAGGGCGACAGCAGCAATTTTTGAATAAATTGCAAAAGCCAGGACCTTAGGCTCTGATACCATGTTAAGCTTCATGCATTAGCCAATGCAACCAAAAGTCCGAACTGATAGAAAGGGCTAGACAATCCACAATCCACATATACACTTCAACACAAGTGAGATGCCGGTGAGCAGCAGCGTGGAATAACAACTAGCGGATGAACATGCAACACCGACGGAAGGTAGGTGCATGTGGGAGATGGAGTTGACGAAATGACCATCGCTGAGGAATCACTAGAGACAAACGACATTGTAAACTTATTTTTTTGTTTTTTAGAAGAGTTGAAGCTAAGGAGCACATAAGGCCGCAACATCAAGCATCTAGCGCACCAGCTAGAGCAGGGAAGAGCCACATGCTGAGCATACAACCAGTAGCGTGCAAAGCAAGCCGCTGCAAGGAAGAGCCAACACGCGAAGCGGCAAGCATCCCGCACGCGGGTCAGTAGCAGCCATGCAAGCAATTCACAAGCAGTGAAGGGAGAACCACGTGCGAGGCAATAGAGAAGCAGCCTGCATGTTGTCCTCTGTCGGAGAGGTGCGTCATGACCAGGGAGGCATCTGCGCCGGGAAGACGGTGGCCAGGGACTGCAGGCGGACGGTCGAGGTTGCTGGAGTTCCGGCCGGCGGGCAGCGGTGAAGCCGGTGGCGAAGCAGGCGGGGCGTGCCGACAGCATAGTCGTTCTCCTAGGGCGGCGGGGTGGTGAACTCCTATACGACTGCGATTGATCTGGACGGGGTGGCTTCTGTTGATCTAGACTAGATGATCGAGCGTGGGATGGCTGGATCGTGGGCATATCAATACGGAGATCGATCTGGCCAGCATTGGCGACGGCCGGTGCACGATATCGATCAGAAGAGGAAACCAAAAAAGTCCATCAAGAGCGTGAGCTGCGGCACGTGAAAAAATCCCTAAACCTGGGCTCATGATACCATGGCCTAATAAGGAGTCCTAGACCAATACCATTACTCCTTAATAGCCTTGTTGGCTGCTTGCCGAAATTATGAACTCGTCTGTTTTATGAAGCATATCCACTTATTTTTCTGCCAAAGGCATATTTTATATTGTTACATATTTGCCTTTCTACCACACATTACTAATGCCTTTACTGGAATAGCCAACTTGGCAGTTTGAAAAGCTGTACTATTATCATATGCACCAATATGATTTATCTCCAGTAATATGTAGGTTATAGCTGCCTTATAATGGTCTGTCTTGCACAAATGAGATAGGAAGTGGGGGGGCCTCTTCTACATCATCAGTTTAGTCTATGATTTTTTTTACATAACCAATATTTATAGGTGCAAGCCAGATGCTGATATATACAACTCTTTGATCAATGCTCATGCTCGGGCTGGTCTATGGCGCTGGGCCATCAACATTATGGATGATATGCTTCGTGCAGCTGTCAGTATTGTTCGTTGAAATAATCATTGTGTTCTAATTGCTTTGTTTTCTTGAATATGACTGGTTATATGTGATTTATATAGTTGTTTAGGGTTGTACATTCCAAAGTATGCTATTACTCTCCTTAAAGAAAGTGACAGAGGTATGGGCCTTGTCCACTTATAATATTGCCTGGGTGGCACCAGTACTATAGATGGATACTGAGTTTTGGTATAGAATTCCCTCTAGTCTCCAACAAAGCCATAATTGTTAAGCATATATGTAGATTAGTACTACCACATTAGTTTTGGTTTACAGTCTCTTAGAGTATCCATAGTTGACCCTTGGCCTACCAGATTAAAACCATCATAGCACTACTAATCCACATATATCCTTAGTATTGGCTGTGAATTATATTGCTGTTTAGTTTGGTAATGATGGGTGTTATCTCTATTTTATGTTGGCTTGCAGCGCTGCCTCATATTTCTTGAATTTCATTACTGGCCCACTTAGAAAATGATAGGAATATGCAACTTGTATTTCCAGGTGACCATAGGCCAGTATATATACATGTACAGGTGTGGAATATATGCAGGAAACCCCTTATACAATAGGGTAAATACGAAGGTTACATGGCTATAATATAGCTCTAACACCCCCCTCAAACTCATGGTGGATTAACAACACTGAGTTTGGAGAGATAGAAGCCATGCTGCGCTCTAGTTTGGGCCTTCGTCAGAAAATCCGCCAACTGTAACTCGGAAGGCACATACTGAAGAGCAATAACCTGATCCTGCACACCAGCGCGCACATAGAAAGCATCAACACCAATATGCTTCGTGAGCTCATGCTTCACAGGATCACGCGCAATGCTAATAGCACCTGTACTGTCAGACAAGAGCGGAGTAGGTGTAGTAACAGAATCATCAAAATCCTGAAGTAACCACCGTAACCAAGTCACATCTGCCGTCAAAAGAGCCATAGCTCGTAACTCAGCCTCTGCACTCGAATGGGAAACTGCAGTCTGTTTCTTCGTCTTCCAGGCAATGAGAGAACCACCAAGAAAAACATAGTAAGCAGAAAGTGAACGGCGATCGGAGGGATCACTAGCCCACGTAGCATCCGAATAGGCCTGAAATTGTAAAGAACTGGAGCGAGGAAAGAATAGACGGTGAGACATCGTGCCCCGAAGATATCGGAGAACACGAAGGAGGTGACTATAGTGAACCGAAGTGGGAGCGGAGACAAACTGACTCAGAATATGAACCGGATAAGAGATATCCGGACGAGTGACAGCTAGATAGACAAGACTCCCAACAAGATGACGATAACGCGTCGGGTCAGGCAAGGGGTCACCATCAGTATCACGGAGGTGAACATTGAGCTCCATTGGAGTCTCAACAATGCGCTCATCGGTAAGAGCAGCACGAACAAGAAGATCATGTATATACTTTTCCTGGGATATAAAAAAGCCATCAGAGGTAGAAGAGACTTCAATCCCAAGAAAGTAGCGAAGAGGTCCAAGATCGGACATAAGAAACTGCTCACTAAGACGGGCCTTTACAAAGGCAATATACTCGGGGTCGTCGCTAGTGATGATCATGTCATCAACATAGAGAAGAAGAAGAGTCCGACCACGAGGAGAAAGGTGGGCAAACAATGCTGGATCATGAGCACTCGCTGAAAAACCAGCGGCAGTCACCACAGAGGCAAAACACTCAAACCAGGCGCGGGGGGCTTGCTTAAGGCCATAGAGAGAGCGACGAAGATGACATACCATGCCATCAGGAACAGAATACCCAGTTGGTGGCTGCATGTATACCTCCTCACGCAGCTCACTGTTAAGAAAGGCATTCTTAACATCAAGCTGAGATACAGACCAGTGGCGTGCAGAGGCCACGGCAAGAAGTGTGCGGATAGTGGTCATATGGGCCACAGGAGCAAATGTCTCATCATAATCACGACCATGCTCCTGCTGAAAAACACGAGCCACAAGACGAGCTTTGTAATGCTCAAGAGAACCATCGGAGCGAGTCTTAACCTTGTAGACCCACTTACAAGTAATGGGACGGACACCTGGAGGAAGAGAAACAAGATCCCATGTACCAGTGCGTTCAAGAGCAGCAATCTCCTCTGCCATCGCAAACTGCCATTCAGGATGAACAACAGCCTCACGATAAGAAGTCGGCTCAAGAACAACAACACCAGCTGTGGAAAAACCAAGGCGATCAACAGGCGGAAGCGGACGAGGACGCAAGCCATAGGTAGGCTGAGACGAGGAGGACGACACGTCAGCAGACACATCCACATTACGTGAACGACGAGTGTAATACTGAGGCAAAGATGGAAGAATACGAGGAGGAATAGCCGAGGTAGAATTAGGAGGTGGAGACGAAGAAATCACCGGGGATGAAGGTGCAGAATCTGGTGACATGCGAGGTGAGGAAACCGTGGGAGATGGTGGCGGCAAATCAGCAAGAGGTGGAGAAGTAGAGTGAGCAGGACGGAGAGACAAGGGCTCAACTGGAGTGATAGGTGTGTCGGGAAAAGTGAGGAAAGAGATATCCTCCACAGAAAAGGTCGAGGAAGATGGACGCGGGTAGAAGGGACGAGACTCATCAAAAGTCACATCCCGAGAAATACGCATCCGACGACCGATAGGATCCCAACAACGATAGCCCTTATGCTTATCACTATAGCCTAAGAAAACACACTCAACAGACTGAGCGGTCAGTTTGGTGCGTTCCCGAGGGGCAAGAAGAACATAGCAAACACAACCAAACAAGCGAAGCATCGAATAATCAGGAGAACGATCAAAGAGACGCTCGAAAGGAACACCACCCTGGAGAGCAGCAGACGGCTGAAGGTTGATGAGATAGGTGAAGGTGAATATAGCCTCAGCCCAAAAATGAGGTGGAAGAGAAGCGACGATCATTAACGCAAGAGCCGTCTCAAGAAGGTGGTGATGCTTTTGCTCAGCCACGCCATTCTGAGCATGAGCACCAGGACAAGAGAACTGAGGAAGAGTGCCCTGCTCAGCAAGAACACCACGCAACATCTTGGAAATATACTCGCCAGCGGAGTCAACACGGAACACACGAATAGGTGAAGAGAACTGAGTGTGAACCATGGCAGCAAAATGCTTATAGATGGAAAGAACCTCACTGCGAGAAGTCATAAAATAAAGCCAAGTGTAACGAGAGAAATCATCTATGAAAATAAATATAGTATGGATGGCCCCCTTTTGAAGCGAAGGGAGCCGGACCCCATACATCAGAATGGACCAAATCAAAAGGACGCTGAGACACCGACTCACTAGTAGGGTAAGGTAACTAAATCTGTTTTCCTAGTCTACAGCCCTGACACTCTAAAGAGACATCTCCTGAGGCAGACCCCAAAAGACCTCGATGAACTAATGACGACAAGCGAGACCCACAAAGATGACCAAGTCGATGATGCCACTGCTGGAAGGAGCCGGTAGCTGAAGCGACACAAGCGGATGGACTGGCGATAGTGGTGGCAGCGGAAGGAACATGAAGCCAGTCTAGCTCCCAAAGAACCTGAGAGTTACGGCGGCGAGGGCCAGCCCCAACCAAAGTGTGTGTTCGACGATCCTGAACAGAACAAGAGTCAACGTCAAGGTGGACGCGACAACCAGAATCAGTAAGTTGACCGGCAGAAAAAAGATTCATGTTAAGTTGAGGAACATGAGCAACTAGACAGCTAATGAAAATCAACACTTGCCTGTTTGACATATGAACAAATCAAGGATGAGTAAACCTCCTTGGTTAAAGGAATTCGCAAGTCCACCATGTCTTCAAAAAGTTTCAGAGATTCTGCATATTTTCCCAATTTACACAATCCACTGATGAGTATATTATAAGTTACAGCATCTGGATTCACATTGCTCGCCATCATTGTGGCGTAGAACTCCAAAGCTTTCTCATAATCTCCAAAACTTAAATAGCTTCCAATGCTCAATATTAAGTTGAGGAACATGAGCAACATCAGGAACAAAGTAAGAAGGTGTGCTAAGATTGCCTCGACTAGCAACAGAAAGAGGAGTACCATTAGCAGTGAGTACATGAATAGGAAAATCAAGCGATTTAAGAGAGGACAAATTTGAAGAATGAGAAGACATATGAAAAGAAGCTCCGGAGTCCAGAACCCGCGAGGATGTACCTGACTGTGTAGAGGGTGGTTGCTTAGTGCAGGAAGCATCAATCACAGAACCTGCAGTACTCGTCGAAGGAGAACCTGAAGCGGCAAGCAGATGCTTAAGTCGCAGAATATCCTGCTCAGTCAAGGCGGTGGCTGAAGATGTCGAAGTAGAAGAAGTCCCTGAAGCTGATGATCGCGCCTTACGTAGGTGTTTTTTCTTCTGGAAGCACTGAGACTCAACATGACCATCCATCTTACAGTAGCCGCAGTGAGGACGAGACCGACCTTGGCCGCCCGTAGGAGTAGGCAAGAGCGGCGGAGCACTCGAGTGGGAAGGAGTCGGTGCAGCAGGCATAGCAGGAACTCGAGTAGCGAGCACAGAGGGAACCTCAAGTAAACCAGCGCCACGGAGGCGAGTCTCCTCAGCACGGATCTCAGAAAGCGCCTCCATGAGGGAGATACGACCACGAGCAAACAACTGAGCGCGCCGGGGCTCAAACTCCTTACGGAGTCGAGACAAGAGCTTGTAGACACGATGAAACTCCAAATCAGCCCGCACAGCCTGGCAACACTGACAAGTACGACAACCAGCAGTGCGGAGAGAATCAAGCTGACGCCAGATAGCAGAACTCTGTGCATAGAACTCATCAATAGTGGAGTCACCCTGCTGAAGAGCATGCTCCTGACGAACCACAAACAGGTATAAGGCATCACCAGAGGGCTGATAGCGCTGACAAAGCCGAGTCCACATCTCAAATACAGTAGAGAGGCCGAGAAACTCAGAGGCAAACTGAGGCATAACACTAGCAGTCAAAACAGCTGCGGCACGAGCATCATCATCAAGCCACTGAGTGTAAGCAGACAGAGCTGCATGATAAGTCTGAAGTGCGTCCTCATAGGTCTGAACCTGCTCATCATAAGCAAGAATGGCAGCGTCATCAGCCAGCTTAGCTGCATCCTTTGCAGCCTGATCAGCGTTGGCAGCAAGAACCGGTGGCGTCGGTGGAGTAGGAGCCACATGAGGAACTGGACACGGCGGACTAGGGACCTCGCCAGAAAGAACGCCCCAAAGACGAAGGCTACGCATGTGAATGCGCATGAAGCCAACGAACTCGATGAAGTTAGTGCCATCAAAAATCACCAGAAAACGAGGAACTGCGACATAGCCCGTATATGTAGACATAGTACCCTTTTTTTTTCAACGGAAGCAGACGGAAAACTGAACAGTGAACGCACACACGCGGCTAGCAGAAGCGGAGACCAAGTCCACGTGGGCGAGCAGCGGAGACCAAATCCTCGCGGGCGAAGACCACTTCCAGCACCAACGATGTAGCGAGGGCGAGCAACGGAGACCAAGTCCACGCTGGCGAAGACCACTTCCAGCACCAATGATGCAGCGAAGACCAAAACGGGTGGTGACTGAGGCGGGACTCTCGATCGGAAGCAGAGGACGATCCAGAAATCGGCAGCAGCGCGTGACCTTCTCTGCTTGATCTGGGCAGGGAAATCGATCTAGGGCGGTCGGGCCGAGCGATCAGGGGCGACGGCGGGAGTCTCCGATCGGGGGTGGTGGCTATCAGGCGGCGGCGGGCCTCACGAGACAGAGGCGGACGAGGGCGGGTCGAGCAGATCGATCTGGGCAATAGCGGAAGTCTCGATCGGGGTGGGAGGCAGAAAAAACCAGTAGCAGCCTGAGGATTTGGCCACCACGGAGAGTCAGCACAGCCAAGGATGGAGGCGTCGCGTCGGAGATGGATCAACAGCAGGAGTTGCGCGTGCTATAAAATTGACCTAGCTCTAATACCATGATAGGAATATGCAACTTGTATTTCCAGGTGGCCATAGGCCAGTATATATACATGTACAGGTGTGGAATATATGCAGGAAATCCCTTATACAATAGGGTAAATACGAAGGTTACATGGCTATATATATATAACTAACAGAAAACACTTGTATTTTTCCGGAATTATGGATGTTATGCTTAACTTTCTTCCTGTCCGAGGAAGTACTAATATTTTCACCAATTCTTGCCTCTTAGCAATAGGTGCGAAAATATCTGCAGTAGTTCATTGCACCACTAGCAAATAATATCTTGATTTTCTATATAATGCAGTCTGTAGTTTGCTCCAGCAACCACTTTGGCAAATAACATTTCTGCAAATATTATCAACGCTCAGATACTTGTACCATTGTTGGTTGTCATAGTTGTGTTATTAGTTTACTTTCTGTGTTTGTCCTGCAGATACCTCCTAGCCGAGCTACATATAATAATGTCATAAATGCATGTGGTGCTGCTGGTAACTGGAAAAAGGCTTTAGAGCTTTGTAAGAAGATGATAAGAAATGGTGTAGGGCCAGACTTGGTTACACACAACATTGTATTATCTGCTTTCAAGAATGGCTCTCAGTATTCGGAAGCCATAGGTTACTTTGATATGATGAAAGGAGCAAATATTGCCCCTGATACTTTCACTTTGAATATTGTCATCCATTGCCTTGTAAAAGCCGGACAGCACGGAGATGCTGTCGATTTGTTAAACTCGATGAGGGAGAAAAGAGCACAGTGTCCTCCAGATGTTGTTACGTACACTAGCATAATGCATTCTTATTATGTTTGTGGGCAAGTGAAAAATTGCAAGGCAGTCTTTGATATGATGGTTGCTGAAGGAGTTAAACCTAATATTGTATCATATAATGCACTTTTGGGTGCTTATGCCTCACATGGGATGCACACTGAGGCCTTGGGATTTTTCAAGTTACTGAAACAAAATGGTCTGCGACCTGATGTAGTTTCCTATACCACTTTACTGAATGCCTATGGTAGGTCAGCACAGCCTGAAAAAGCTAGGGAGGTTTTTAACGAGATGAGAAAGAACTCATGCAAGCCAAACAAAGTCAGTTATAATGCACTAATTGATGCTTATGGATCTGCTGGAATGTTCAAGGAGGCCATTAGCTTACTGCATGAAATGGAGAAGGATGGCATTCCACCAGACGTTGTTTCAATAAGTACTCTGTTGACTGCCTGTGGCTGCTGCAGGCAGACAACAAAAATTGACACAGTTCTTGAAGAAGCAAAATTTCGAGGGATTGAACTTAATATTGTTGCGTACAACTCGGGCATTGGAACCTATTTAAGTTTTGGAGATTATGAGAAAGCTTTGGAGTTCTATGCCACAATGATGGCGAGCAATGTGAATCCAAATGCTGTAACTTATAATATACTCATCAGTGGATTGTGTAAATTGGGAAAATATGCAGAATCTCTGAAATTTTTTGAAGACATGGTGGACTTGCGAATTCCTTTAACCAAGGAGGTTTACTCATCCTTGATTTGTTCATATGTCAAACAGGCAAGTGTTGATTTTCATTAGCTGTCTAGTTTTCTGTGGAAAGTTGATATGCTAACGATGGTTCCCACTCAGGACAAACTAGCTGAAGCGGAATCTACTTTTAGTTATATGAAAACATCTGGCTGCTTCCCTGATGTTCTAACATATACTGCTATGATTCAAGCCTATATTGATCATGGTAAGATCCTCTTAAAAGTCTTGGGTTGAGATAACATTTTTTCACTGATCATGTTTTTCTTATGGATCATAAGGGAGTTGGACGAGTGTGTGGGACCTATTCAAAGAGATGGAAGGAAATGCCATACTGCCAGATGCCATTATATGCTCATCCCTCATGGAAGCATTGAATAAAGGAAATCAACATGAAAGGGTCCTTCAGTTGATGAAATTCATGCACGATCAATCCATCGAATTGAACCAAAAAGCTTATTTTGAAATAATAGCTTCATGCAGCATGTATGTCTATCCACTCTCTTAAGTTGAACAAGCATGAATTGGTAATTACGCTGTTATGATCTGAACAAGGTTACTACGGTAACACCGGTGGTCGTTACTTTATCATTTTAAGTATGTTCATATACTATATCTTAGATTTTCCAGCGACCTGCATGATTTTTTTTTTGCATGTGAGTCCATAGTTTTTAGTATATTTTGAAAATACTTTCATATTTATATATGTACATATTAACAATATACTAAAATAACAGTTCATACTACCTAAAAAGTGGTATACTACCGAAATATTCTTATATACTACCTCCATTCATAAATATATGTTTTAACTTTTATCTGAATCGGATGTATATAGACACGTTTTAGTTTGTTTGTTTGCTCATTCCAGTCCGTATGTAGTCCATATTAAAATATCCAAAACATCTTACATTTGTGAACGGAGGAAGTACATACTATGCCTACATACTCCCCAGTTTGACAGATACTACATACTCCCTCCATAGTGAACTAAACGCTCTTATATTTCTTTACGGAGGGAGTACAACATACGAATCTCACTTGAGTGTAACTATCACCGGTTGTATGTAAAATATCTGGGGCACCTAGGCGCATGGGCAGCTTGTTCGGGTCCAACCCGTTATGGCATTTGGTTGCAAGTGGCGTGCATCACTCTTGATTAGTTTCCTAATTTGTTTGCATGCAATTCTATCCATGTATGAGATAGCATCAAACATCTGAGATTTGGTTCCTAATCAAATAACATTATTAGTTATGTTGGATTTCAAACCATTCTTGTCTATTTGAATCTGAGATACCCACATGTACGTGTTACCAATTTAGGACGACACAATAATAACATTTTTTGGTATACACATACCCGAGATACCCACTTGTACGTGTTATTAGACCGCGATACCAATTAGTGGGTATTATACCTAACGAAAATATTTAGTGTTCGTGTTATACCTAATCAAAATATATACACTCTGAGGTATTATACCTAATGAAAATATACACATCCTGAGATACCCATGCGTACATGTTTGTAACTCAGTCAAAATATGAATGTGCAAACCCTCCTAATTACAAATAGTTCCTTCTCTATTCCTAATGGGTATCATGTACCTTCCATCCATGAAACATGGAAAGAAACACAAGATAATTATTCATGACGCATTGATTTCTGATTTCTCTCTCCTATTATGTCTCTCAACATGGAACGTTGCCATGCATGGTATTTTTTATTTGCTGCTAAAGAAATGTTCGAACAAGTGATGGTGACACTGGTGACTTTCCAGTTAAAATAGGATTGCACCAAGGGTCAGCTTTGAGCCATTATCTTTTTTGCTTTGGTGATGGATGAGGTCACAAGGGATATACTAGGAGATATCCCATGGTGTATGCTCTTTGCGGATGATGTGGTGCTAGTCGAACGAGGGTTAATAGAAAGTTAGAGATGTGGAGACGAACTTTAGAATAGAAAGGGCATGAGGTGCGGTTTCAGTATTACTAGGCACGAGGAGGAGGAAGTTAGCCTTGATGGGCAAGTGGTACCTCAGAAGGACATATTTTTAGTGTACTCCTTTTTACATACAAATATGAACGTATTTTAAATATATACTAAAAACTATGGACTTGTTTGTAATCTGAAACACACGCGCCAGCGCATCAACGAGGCGAGCGAGAGGGCAAATAGACAGGCAAATGTATACCTTGGAGGCGCGGGTGAGGCGATCTCCGCTCTCGCCGACAGAGATGTTGGGGACGAGCTTCTGCACCTTGATCTCCCGCATGGGGTTTAGCTACTTCTTCTCCATCCACTGCGAGCACCAAAACACAAACAACACCGCACCGTCAGAACACCAGGAACCTGAGCAACCCAAAGGATTTGGAACAATTGACAAAGCGGAGGGGAACTCACCATGGCTGCGGGATCTGGGGTGCGGCGGCGAGGGAGAGGAGAGGGAGAGGGGGAGGGTTTAAAGCATGGTGCATGGCGGCGGCAGGGGCTTTGTAGGGAGAGAGAGGAAACCCTAGCGCGGAGGGTGCTTATATGCCTAGAATTACGTCCGTGCCCCCGTGTGCAGGTGTAGAATGGAGGGTGGTTTAATAATTTTGGTTAATCTGGCTTAGGAGCGCTAAAAAAGAACATGTAGCTTGCATTGGAATCTTAGATATAGTACTCCCTCCGTTCCTAATAGTCTTTGTAGAAATTCCACTATGGACTACATGCGGAGCAAATTGAGTGAATCTACACTCTAAAATGCATCTATATACATCCTTATGTGGTTCATAGTGGAATCTCTACAAAGACTTATATTTAGGAACGGAGTGAGTATATGATCGTACTAAAAATAATAAAGTACTCCCTCCGTCCCACAATGTAGCTTGCAAAAACGTCTTACACTGTGGGACGAAGGGAGTAGTACATATACTACCCCGTGGTAGTTGAGACGTGGGTGTAACTAGACCCGGTTGTAGGATGTATTTTCCCTACGGAAACATAAAATGGTTTTGTACTCCTGGAAGTATGTACTGCTCCTCATACATCACACAGATAAACCGATTAAAGCTCTTAATTATTTTTGACATATTTTGCTAATAATTACTAGATACCTAAGTGAGTTTTATGAAACTAATTGCCAAGTCCATATATTTTATGTAGTTTACATATGGCAGCTTTTTTGTATGTAGGACTGTTATATTGCAAAAACTAGGGACCTAAGTGACAATTTTTTGTACTACTTGTACTGGGGTATCTTACAGTGATTACTATGGTATATGTAGAATGATGAGGTATATTTAGAATGATAGAGGTATAATAGATGCATATGAGGTACATTGAATGTGGGAGTACGTACTCCCAGGAGTACAGAAAATTAGTCCATATATCTTATATTACTAGACTTTTAGATTACCATGTCTATTTATCAGGTTATCGTTCGAGTCACTTGCAACTAGGTCTGCTGTCTTCTGAGGCAACCATGCTGAATATACACACCATGGTTAATAAATAGAAACATAATAAAGTTGAATATTTATTGGGATAGCAGCATAGAGCTTTCTTGTGGTTGAGATGCCATCTAAATTGTGTTTGTTCAGTTTTTGTAATAGCTGCATAGAACCGCCCTTGATGTATTGAATAGGTCAATGTTCATTTGTGTCCCTTGGTTACTTATCGACATTTTGCTTCCCCATAACAGGCTACGGGACTGGAGAACTGCAAGTGAAATAATTGAACATTTGGATTCCTCTCTCCCATCCATTTCTGTTGGGAAGCTAAACCATCTTCTGAATTTTCTTGGAAAATGTGGGAAGACAGAGAGTATGATGAAGGTACAATTGGTCTGCGTAACATAGCTTTCATACAGAACATACTTTTGTTATTTCCAACTTCTTCTATGCAATTGATGTAGATACTTAAGCATTATCTGTTTTCGTAGACCATCAATTTGTTATGTTGTTCTGTATATGAAGCGGAAGTTGTACCAACCAGTTCACCCAAAAAGCCTAAGCTTAGGGAGACGGTCAGGCATTATACTCAAACACCCCCCTCGCGTATGAACTGGGTTGGAGATATGTGTGCATCGGAAGTAGAGGCAGATCACAATTATTTATTGCATGTACTGGGTTTTGAACCTAAAATCTCTTGGATTCAAATTATATGTGCTTGACCATTTCATCCATCAACTCAAGCTTAGAGAGGGTTAGATATGACATTCTGAACATGTTTGTCGTTGCTAGTTATGCTATAGACACCTAGCAATATTTTTTTAATGCACTATCACTTAGTGTTTTTGTCCTTACCATGATCAATTTAGACAGCATGGCTCCTCGTTTAAAAAGAATGGACTGCTTGCGCATAATGGCTTGCTGGATCCATATATCAATCTTTCCCCTTGAAGTCTATTGTGTTTGGTTTGAGCCCAAGCCAACCTTGTCAAAAATTTGTGAGGGGGGAGGGGTAGTGGAGCTGGTACATGAAGTTACATCTACGCTCAGCTATTTACAATCCTAACCCTAGATGAACTGATGTACCTGAGGGCGGGTTGGCCTTTTACTTCCGTAATATCCTGAGAATATGCGTGGATCCCACTTGGTGCTGAAGATGTAGTTTTCCGAGGCACCGAGCTGGTGGCATTCCTCAAGGTATTAACTTGGTGGAAATCCTATTGGGTCTCTGGTTGGTAGCAATTCCGCGGGGTGTCAAGTTGGTGGCGATCTCGAGAGGTTATAAGGTTTTCCGCAAAGTCTAGTAAGACGTTGAGTCCAAGTAGCACAGTGAACCTTCCCCAGCAGTAGCCCCTCGTAGGCCTGGGCAGTAAAGTAGCGCATGTCCGGGCCGATGCACGAATCCTAGAGTGGTTGGCGTGCCGACCGGATCAATGAATTTTGAGGCATGCGTGATGATGGTTGAATCCAACCTCTATGGTTCATTGGATTTACTCATGCATCCTTTTGATCCCATCACTCAGCATACTAGTGGTTGTATGATTGATGTAGCTCGCAAAACCTCTTGCCTTGGTCGTTGACTTCGCTTCCTTTGATTGGGCCCATGACCTCGCTCTGCTACCCATGGTCGCTTTGGCACGCACGATCCTGGTGTTCCTCCCGCGTCACACGGGCTTGTGGATGCTATCCGTCTACCTTCACTCAGTAAATACCGTGAGGGCACAGTTGGGTATCTTCTTGGGTTGGCTTGAGTTGCCTTGTGGCAGCCTGCTCCTTGTTCGGTTGTTGCTCCCCTTACTCCTGGAGCAAGTACGTCCTCATGATGGCGTAGAGCCTCTTAGTTGTTGACCGTAGACTTTGATGCAACTTGGCGTAGAGGGCTGGGCCACATATCGCCAGTCGCATGGCGGGGCACACGCTCTCGTCGGTGATGGTGCGGATTTGACACTATATGCTGGTGAAGTGCTTCTGTAATGCTTTGATAGATTTGCGTGGATCTTGAATGAGCGCGTAAGGTTTGACGGCGGTCACCTCCATAGTCTCATTCCCTTGGAAGTCAGCATGAAGATGCTAGCAAAGTTGTTCCCAAGTGCACCGATCTAGGAGCGAGCGCTAGGTATCATGACCGAGCCATCCCAGAGATCATGGTGGTTTCGTCGCCTCCCGCCACCTAGACGACGGCCTCGTACATAGGTGAACCCGCTCAGGTCGGCGTCACTTGCATAGCTCGGGAGGTCCGTTGGGCAAAGCTTTTGCGGCCATGGCTTCACTTCAAGTCCTAGGCTAAGGGGGTTGCGCTCGTCGGCAATGTTGATGACTTCACATCTTCGAGCATGCATTGTTTGTGCGGAGATGTATTTGTTGAAGCGCTCACTGTCTTCCTCTAGACCCAATGCGACACTCATCTTGCGCAGAGTAACCAATCTGGTCATGCCTGCTTAGGATGATGGTCTGGAGTGCTTCTACCTCCGAAGCTCCTCGGAGTGGCCGTCTCGCCCACACAATCATTTTTGCTATTGGCCATCTTTGCTCCTCGATGATTTCGGAATTCACCTTAACTTCCTCCCTTGCCGCATCACACTCTTGGGTTTGGTGGTGGCGAATTTCCTTGGTTTAAGCCATGCGGAGCGGGGGTTCGGCTTTGCCGAGGCTATTGTGGTCACTTGTCGCGCATGTATGTTGGCGGCCTCGTGTAGGAGCGCCGCTAAGCAAATGGAGTCTGCTTGGGATGCTTCTAGGATGGCTTGCAGTTCTTCTGCCCTTGTGCTCGCGTCTGTGGCTTGTTGCCTGAGTGCTTCAACTTCCTCCTTGTTGATAATGACTTGTGCAGATCCTTCCGAGCTGGCGACCTGCGCATCGGTGGAGGGTTCATGTGCTTTGTTAGACGTGCGAGCCTGGCGCATGCTGCTTGTAGGTGACGTGGGTTGAGTCGTCTCCTTCCTCTTTGACGTGCTTATGTTTCTGTGGTGCCATCTCCTTGCCTTCCTGTCCTGGCGTCCAAGAGAGTGCACGGGGTGGATATTAGCTGGCCTTCCGCATCGGTCCGTGACGGTTGTGCTCTCTTGGTCACACTGCTTCTGGCTAGGTTCCCATAGACGGCGCCAACTGTCATAGCATCATGGCTAGACTGTGAACTTGTTGCACCCCTAGCCAGATACAAAGACTGGCACGAGGTGCGCGGGAAACTTGACATGGGGACACGTGCCCCCGTTTGCAGCGACCCGACGCGGAGCTACCTGAAACCAACAAGAATTGCAAGGTAGGAAGACAAGTTACAAATCTGCCCTCCGGCTATTTATAATCCTAACCATAGATGAACTGATGTACTTGAAGGCGAGTCGGTCTCTTTCTGTGGGAATATCATGAGAATATGCTGTGGGTTCTGCTCGGTTCTCAAGATGTAGATTTTCCGGGGCGAGCCGGTGGCAATCCCGCGAGGTTAAAGGTTTTCCACCAAGTCTAGAAAGATGTCGAGTCCGGGTAATAACGTGGGGACCCTTCCCCAACACGAACAATCTTGGGCGATGTGGTTGGCCTCACGAGCAGAGGCGCGTTCTTTTGTGGAATTGAGAACCATCTCTGCATATCTTGCCCATCAGGTAGGAGATCATGACTTTCTTGGTGGGCTGGAATGGCCTTCTAATTCCACACCTAAAACCAATCTCCGTTTCTCTGAATTATGATGCTTGATGAGAGGCTTTACTGAAGGCTTGCGAAAAGGATATGCGAGGGTGTTTTAGCGGGCTGCTCATTTATATTCTCTGGAATGTGTGGAAGGATATTCCAACTAGTGGATGTGGCGCCCCTTGCTCATGAGGAGTTTGCCCTATGTAGATTGGCTTTGCTTAATATGTAGTCTGTTTGTTGGTAAAAAGTTGCTTGTATTTTGTCTTAGGAAAGGCTTAAGCAGTAGTTTTTGTTTACTCGAGTAATTGGCTTGTTGCTTCCTTGCGCTTGCTTTGGCAAGCTTTGTAACAAACTGCTTTTCCTTCTTTGTGAAAAAATATGCTAATATCTACAACATCAAATATATATAGTACTATATTTATGATGAATCTAATGAAGTTAATTTGGTGTCGTTAGATGTTAATATATTTTTTTTGTAGACTTGGTCAAACTTTTTTAAGTTGAACTTGGGACAAAGCTAGAACTTCAAACAATTTTGTATGGATGGAGTACTTCATGTATCACCTATATAACTATATTTCTGATATTCTTGGCCCGAAGAAGCTGGTTTTATAGTTAAGAATGCTAGCTTCTTGACTAGTTTCAAAACCATCAAATCACGGTCTTTTCTTTCATGAAAATACATTGATACTCGAGGGACCCATGTAATCTCATATCTAAACACTGGACTTGTGAGGAAATAGTTTCAATAAAGGTGCTTAGATTATTGGATGTGCTTTCCAGTTTATGTTTTACCCTGAGTCCTTGTAAAGATGGGCCTAAGATATTTAATTTTCTCTAATGCAGCTGTTTTACAAGATGGTGAGTGCATGCTCTACTGTAGGCCTTTCTACTTATAAGGTTCTGCTGAGAAATCTCTTAGCAGTTGGAAAATGGAGAAAGTATGTCGAGGTAAAGATAGGTATTCACTAGTATCCGTATCACTTATGATTACATATTTGCATGGACATCTATATCTGGTACATTCAATTTGCACAACTGTGCTCTGGCAGCATGATGGTGTACTGCAGATACACATTTATCTTGGAACAACTTCACATTTTTACCTCAGAAAAAAACCTCACATTTTTTTCTTCTGTTTTGACCTGTATTATGTTGGTCCTTGTAAAACCTGCACCAATATGTGCTTCTGGGATCATAAGAACTGTGGCAAAAGCAAGTGATTTGACATTACATTGAAAGTTTTGCTTGAGTTACTTCTTCCATGAGCAAAGCTCTAATGTCAGCAATAAAATGCTAGTACTGGACGGGTATTTGAGCCTCCATTATATAAAGAGAAAACTAGACTCGTGGTTGTTTATGGGCATGAAACTGAACTCCTTTGTTTTCTGAAACATGTAGGTTTTGCAGTGGATGGAGGATGCTGGAGTCCGTCCAACACTATATATGTATCAAAATGTTCTTCCATATATTTGGAGGGACAATAGCATGGATTATGTCACTCTTATGCAGGAAAAAATAAGTATGTTACTTCTTTAACTTTAGCAGAAGTACTATTTTATCATGCAAGAACCTCTTTCAACATTTCTGTTTTCCCCTTGCCATTAGTGATCTAGTCAAATCTAGAACATGTCTTGTTTGGTGCTTGTGGTTGTTGAACTATCATTGTTGTAGACCTGATCATTTACATGGTTTTATCCTTTTCCAGGAAGTGTCATATTTTTCATCAGTTTCTGTACAGGGAACATTTTTTGATATTTTAGTAGTCAATAAAGTGTCGAAGTATCTTATGTTTGTTAATTTGTAGTTGTGATAGGAAAGAAATAGTGAAGACATAGCTACATCATGTAATCCAGATATTCAGAAAACATAAAACTGTGGCATTTAGACAGCGAACTGAACCATCTATGCTACCTATACGAGGCATAGCCTTCCATCATCTCGTATACTCCTTTATTCAGAAAATGCAAAAGCTTCTGTCTTGCATATATAGGAAAAGAGAGTCGTGTACGAGGCCAAGAGGGCCACACCCGAAAGTAGAATACCACACACCTGCAAGCTAAGGCGCCACCGGAAGCATCACCACAAGACCCAATGCTCCCACTGATGTAGGGTGGAACTCTAGGGGCTGATCTTTGAAGGGGGATTCCTGAAGAACATGACGAACACATGAAAAATACAAGGGGAAAAACAAGAGGAAACATTCAAATTGACTTGATTCAATCACACATATGCTAGATCCATGAACACAAGAGATCACAAGATCCAAAGACAACAAAGGAAAGATACAAGTAGCTAGTTCTTCTCCAACATGAGGTCTTGAATCCACTATGGGATCTTCTCCGTAAAGAGGTCTTGAATCCACTTGGGGGATCTTCTCCTAGATGGAGGGCTTGGCCTCCAATGGATCAAGTGGATGAGCAACGCTCTATCTCTCAATGAGCTAAATCAATGCTAACCCTAAAACATTGGGGAGAAAAGTACATATAGTCTAGGGGGCGAAGGGATACATGGACTTTGGCCCTTTGCGCAGACAGGGGGGGCTGGGCGTCGGGCCGGATGTCTGGGCCTTCACGAGGTGCCGGATGTCCGG